ACCCCGAATAGCCACAGCAATTCTGAGAAATAAGAACAAAGTCCAGAGGTATCACGCTACCAGACATCAAATCATACTACAAGGCTACAGTAATCAAAACAGTATGGTACTGGCATGAAAACAGGCACATAGATCAATGGAACAGAATAGAGAGCCTAGAAATAAATCCATTCATATACAGACAGTTAATCTATGACAACAGAAGCAAGAATTTACATTGGGGTAAAGATAGTCTATTTAATAAATGGTGCCGGGAAAATTGGACTGACTGCAAAAAAATGAAACTGGACCACCTCCTTACGCCATATACAAGAACAAATTCAAAATGGATTAAAGACTTAAATGTAAGACCTGAAACCATAAGACTCCTAGAAGAAAATATAGGGAGTAAATTTGCAAACATTACCCTGAGCAATATTTTTACTGATATATCCCCGTGGGCAAGGGAAATAAAGAAAAAGTGAACATATGGGATTACATCAAACTTAAAAGATTTTTCACAGTAAAGGAAACCATCAAGAAAACAAAAAGGAAGCCTACTAAATGGGAGAAGATATTTGTCAATGATACATCTGATAATGGGTTAATATCCAAGATTTATAAAACATTCATGCAACTCAACACCACAAAAGCAAACAACCCAATTAAAAAATGGGCAGAGGATATGAAGAGGCATTTCTCTAAAGAGGACATACAGATGGCCAACAGGCATATGAAAAAATGTTCAACCTCACTAATCATTAGAGAAATGTAAATAAAAACCACAATGAGATACCACCTCACTCCCGTTAGAATGGTTATCATCAATAAATCAACAAACAACAAGTGCTGGCGAGGTTATGGGGAAAAGGGAACCCTGGTGCATTGTTGGTGGGACTGCAGATTGGTGCAGCCATTATGGAAATCAGTATGGAGTTATCAAAAAACTGGAAATGGAGCTACCTTATGACCCAGCATTTCCACTCTTAGGTAGGTATTTATCCAGAGAAATCCAAGACACTAATTCAAAAAAGTATATGCACCCCTAAATTCATTGCAGCACTATTTACAATAGCCAAGACTTGGAAACAACCAAAGTGCCCATCAGTAGAGTAGATGACTTGATTAAGAAACAGTGGTTCGGGCCAGTCAAGTGGCTCAGCTGGTTAAGAGCTCGCTTGGGAGCACCAGCTCTGAGCAGCAGGGCTGCGGTTCGGATCCCACATTGAGGGCCATTGACACTTGCCCTCTACAGCTAAGATGATGAACAACAGCTCGACCTGGAGCTGGGCTGCTGTCAGTTGCCAGCGACAGAGTAGGCTGCAGCAGGGCTGCAGTCGCTGCCGTGAGCTATGTGAGTGGCTGGCAGCCAGCATGAGCAACTGGTAGCCGGTGTGAGCTACCGGGAGCCACTGTGAGCGGCCATCCAGTGACTGGTGACCGATGGCCTCACCCAGGAAGAGCATAATGATCATACCAACATGGGGCAGTGAAGTGACGTCCTCCACAACTAGACTGAAGAACAAAACAGCAATTTGTCTACCTGTCTGTTCCCCTTTCCCGGGTCTCCAACACTGTTCCCCTTCCCCCAATTCCCCAATAATATCTTTAAAAAAAAAGAAAAGAAAAAAGAAACAGTGGTTCATTTATACAATGGCGTTTACTCAGCTATAAAGAAGAATGAAATTGTGCCATTTGCAAAAATATGGATGGACCTAGAGAACATCATGCTAAGTGAAATAAGTACATTGGAGAAATATGATCTCACTTATATGTGGAATCTAAAGAACTGAATAAACGAACATTGTAAACAGAAATAGCCTCAGAGACACAGAGGAAAAACTGATGGTTGCTAGATGGGAGGGGGTGGGGATGAGGGAGAAGGGGAAGGGACGAGACAACATAAATTGGTAACTTCAATATTGCCACAGGGATATGAAAGACAGTTTGGGGAATATAATCGATAATGTAGTAGTATTTTTTAGGGTGTCAGATGGACTCATCTCTTGTTAGGGAGACCACTTCATGGACGGTGTAGAGGCCTGACCACTGCACTGTACATCTGAAGCTGCCATTGAATAATAGTTTGTCAACTAAGATTTGATATATATGTTATCACAGTATGTGGAGTACAGTGCGGAGAGTGGAGTCGATGGAATTGTGATAGATGTGTATGCTATCGGGGGAGGGGGCGGTTGATTGGGGGAAGGGGGGGTCACTTTGTGAGGGATGAAAAGTATAACTATTGCATTGTTCTGTACACCTAAAACTAATAATAAAAAAAATTATTTTGTACTGTGAGTCTGTGATAATCCTTACACTAGAGAATCTAAATGTGAAATTTTTAAGTTGGAGAATATTGATTTTTCTGCGTGTTGTATTTTGTTATTTTAAATAATAGACCTGGTAGCAGCATATGCTAGTCCTCTGTAATAGCAAACTGTTCTGAAATGTAAATAGTAAACACTCATTGCTCTTTTTTACCCTGTTTCAAAATCTGAGTGAGCAACTTAAACATAGATCAAATAAAGTATTAGTACTTTATTGTTTGGAAATGCTTTCTTCTCAGTGCATTTTAATTCATTCTGAAAAATAATATCTCACAAAATGGCTGTGTGGAGACTTTTTGAAAGGAGCACTTTGGAAGAGCCTGAATTGCAGGAAGGTGGTCAGATTTGAATGATCATCTATTTCAGCCGCTGACATGAAATCAAGATAGAATAAAAGTTGTTTTTCTGTTTGCTTTAACTATCAGTAAAGACGTTTGTTGAAGTTGATTTTGAATTTTGTATTTATTTAAGAGAACTCACCCCCATTTCCTGTTAGATTTGCAGCTATGTTTACTACTGGTCGAGCTTTTAACAAACCTTATATTTTCTTTCAAAATCAGTGAAGAAGTTCACATATGGTAAAGATTTAGAAAAAGAACCAAAAAAGAGCTCTTTTACAAAATGTGTTTTACCTTTTGAAATATAGACTGATACTTAGTTTATTCCACAATGGTTGTTGAAATACCACCTATGTATAGCACACCAGACAGTTAAGAATAATGTAATTCTTTACATGTGAAACCATGAAAAGGACATTCTTGAGGAATTTCTTTAACAAATGTGTTCATTCTTTTATCTTCATGCCACAGACTATATTGTAGGTAAAATAGTTATAGTAACATGTCTGATAACTAGACACAACCTTACACCCCGTTAAACAAAATATGTATATTTTTATAATATGCTGTAGGAGCTCGTACTCTGATGTGGGACTTAAGCCTGAAACTTAAATTTCTATGTTAACAGGAGCAGCGAGACTCACTGCCAATAATTTAAGTAAGCTGGGCCAACAGAGGTAGACATTTGAGGCCACTAACGACAATGTTAAAAGATCAAATATTAATAAAATAATATCCTAATGTCATAAAGGCAAAAGGGGAGACAGGATAACTTATATCAGTTTTTCTTTTTAAATTGCTTCCTAGTAAATAGAAAACGGAAATATGAGTGCACGTAGACATTTATTGAGAAACTACTATGTATCTACCTTTTCATTTTATTGTTAATATTATTTTGTATTCTGTAGTAATCACTGCATATAGAGTGATTTGTCCTTCAGTTTTTTTGTTTTTTTTTATTATTATTAGTTTCAGGTGTAAAAAACAATGTAATAGTTACACATTTCACCCCTCACAAAGTGATAACTCCCCTCCCCCAATCTATTGCCTCTCTGACATGGCATATATCTATTACAATTTCATTGACTCTATTTCCTATACTATACTCCATATCGTGTGACTATATATTTATTAAATTATAGTTCACATATAATATCCAGCTTCATCTTCAGGTGTACAATACAGTGTCCTTCAGTTTTGTTGACCCAGTCACTCAGCAGAATATTTGGCTGTGGGCACCATTATAAACATGCTAAATTCTGAGTAGTCACAGGGCGTCCCTCTCACTAAAAGTGCCTTCCAGAAAAGTGCCTTCCAACTGGCAAACTGCTAATGGGTTTGGACCACAGGCAGGTGACTAAGGTGTTTCTCTTCGTGTAAACATTCCTGTCAGTTTTATGGAGACTTGCGATATCTATTAAATAAATGCTGAATTAACACCAGGAGAAGGAACTACACTATTTTTACATGGGTCCTGGCTGTGAGTTACTGCCCTACTGGCTTTCTTTTTACTTGACAATTCTTCATGATTCCAATCCAAAATTTGTCTTAGAGAAAAGTCTGTAAGTTACCTACTTTGGATTTTGAGCCCAGTGAAATGATTGGCACCAACTGTTTTTTATTGCATCTTTTTCTAACCAAATCTCTGGGCATTCTTGTAGCTTGTTAGTAAATTCTGTGAATTGCTACATCCACTGAAAACAGAGTTCAGCTTTATTGCAAACAGAATTTAGAAGGTCTGTTGTTCATCTAAGGCATCTGCCACTGGAAATAGCCCTTCTTATATTAAGCAATAATCACTTAAAATTAAATGGGTCATTGTCTTCTTGAGTAAAGTTTTTCCCTAGAGTTTAATAGAAAGGAAGCAGTAGTCCACACATATATATATATATATACACACACCTATATGTGTATGTACATACATATGTTTATATAGTATTCCCTTGTTCAGTATGTTAGATGTCAATAAACCTTTCTTTTTTTAGGTTTGCTAAAAAATACTGGCAAAAGAACTATATCTTAGTCTTTTGGAAGCTATTATCTTCCTTTCTCCTATTTTCCTTTCTAACAAAGTAAAAGCAAACTTTTTGGGCCTCCAGATCCAGGATAAATGTAAGATTGGCATTAATTAAAAACTTGAGATTTCCCTAGATAGCACATCTGGTTTTGAACTGAACATAAAAGCATTAAACAAATGGATAACTCTTCCAAGTGGCTGAGATTTTTCACTCCTATCTGAATATGTTGGCTGTGGGAAGTATTTTTTCCCCATTTTTATCTCCTACTCAGATGATATTAATAGTTGTGCTTATGTAATGTCTGTGTTGTGTGTGTGTTTTTAATCTCTACTTAGGTTGACCTGACAGTTCAAGAAAAGGAGAAATATCTTAATGTATCTCGCTGGTTTTGTCACATTCAGCATTATCCAGGCATCAGGCAACATCTGTCTAGCGTTGTCTTCATCAAGAACAGACTCTATACTAATTCCCACTAGAAGCTATCCTTGCCGCACAGAAGAATGATTTAAAACACTTTAAATAGAAAGTGTATTCTGGACCAGAGGACTAATGTAAATTGATAAACAGCCATTCTTTATTTGCTGAAATTGATAGAATTTTTAAGTATAAACTTGTGTCTGAATGTTTTATTTGTTGTTTAGTTGAAATTTTGTAATTTTTAATGTAAAAATTCAACTGCTGTCCAAACTTGAGTTAAGATCAAGTTATAAATTATCTTGTTTTTATAGATGAAGTTGTATTAATAAAAGTTGCAAATCAATGGCTTGATTTTTTTTAAAAAGTCCTTTTAATGGTTGACCTATATGGCTATTTAATGACTGTTGTTGCCCATTTTAAAATTCATTTTCCCCTTACAGATATTTACAGTAGTTTATTAAGATCATAATAAATTGTGCCAAGGATACTGAAAGGGAAGACAGATGGATTTGTTTTCAAGAATTTATGTGAACCAGTAAATGTGATTGAAAAAATCTTTTTTGTTTGTTTGTTTCTTTCCTGTAGTCAGCATTTATTGAGGTGAAACTAACTACTGAACTGTCCTAAAGGGAAATAGAATAAGATACATTCTCTTGAGTTAATGGCTCTATTTTGTTGTTGGGCTACTTGGAATATGCAGTGGCTAAGAAAAGATGGGAAATTCCTGCTATACCACTAATTTTGGACTTGATAATGACTAGACTTTTCTAAAGTAAAAGCCAACTCTCATAGAAAGGCTGCTGTTGAAGCACTATGTAAAGAACAAAGAGACTTTATTAACAGTTCCATGTAACTCTTACTATCTGAATAAATAAGCAATTATTGAGAGCTAAAGAATCTTATATTTCCAAACAGTAAGAAAAATAGAATTTTCAAGTGCCTTACTGTTTAACACTATTTAATTTTGGGGGGCTGATGCTGAATCTACGTACTAGTATACGATTCAAAGGTCAAGTGGAAACAGCAGAGACTTGGGAAACAGCCCTTTGGCGGAGTCCTGCTTGTATCACTTACTAGCTATGTGACCTTAAGCAAATCAGTTCACCATATTTTCTTAATGTATAAAAATAAAATGTAAAAATAAAAATAACTCTTAAGTCATGAGGACTAAAAGAGAGAATGTATGTGAGAAAGCCTACAATATAGCCGACAGCTCTCAGTGGTTTTCTCTGTAGGAGTCCCTCATTTTTGTCCTTCATGTTACTGAGGCAAGAGATTTACTAGGCCAGATGTGTAAGTATATTGGAGTAGATCAAGACAGTTTTTATGGGATTGGGTTTCACAATTCAATGTCCTTGGGAGCATTTTTAATTTTATAAAATGGCCTTTAAATTAGAAACTGTAAACTTGTATAACATTTGCATGTTCAGAGACTAAAGGGTTCAAGTTACTCTTGGGGGTTAGTATGTGTGCCCTCGAGTCAGGCCCCGTCGAGGACTTCATGCCCCGGCTGGGTCTGCTGTAAGGATTCCACATTATATTTCACTGCTGCAGATTACCCCTTGCCTCACACTTGTCTCTTCTCCCCCTGGAGTGCAGGAGGAGGCAAGCAGGACATACGGGGTACATAAGAGATGGGCTCCCCAGCCTTCCCATCCCAATCATTTCATTCTTTTATTTCAGTTCAGGTCAGCTGTGAGGAAAGGGTAGGAGGACACCTCTGGACTTCTTTGCTAAATGTCCCTCTCCCCACTTCTACCTTCTGAGTCTTTACCTCTGAATCCTTCCATCTGCCAGTCAGTTCTTTATTGAAATGCACAACATTGCTTCAACAGGTACTACCTGGTGCTACCATGTGCCGTGACGTCCCACCACCAGCTTAGATCTTACAGGTTGAAGGTAGGGCAGAAATACAGAGATCCGGCTCCTTCAGGCAAAGGTTAGATCATGTTCTTAGTATCTAGTCGAAACAATTCATTTCCGTGGAGAAATGCTGATATGTATTATGGGTATTTCTGTCAGGTATTTCTCCACCTGAAATGCTCTTTCCTTTTCACTTGATCACTGTGGGAGACCAGCTCCCGCAGGGTCTAGGGTTTCCCTCAGGTGGAGGCGGAGTCTGCGAGGAAAAAGGAAACGCACTGAGACACAGGAGCGCTTTTTCAAGAAGAGAAGTGTCTCACTTTATTTTACAGCATGCCCCTTTTTATAGTTGACCATTTCTCATCAGTAACTGTTTTAATCCTTTTTACCTATAATTATGTGACTAAGGCTAATCCTTTTACCTATAGTGACTATGTCTACTCAACAATTATCCTAAACACTATTAGCTAAGCAGTACTTTAAGATTTATAGGGTGTGTACTTTGACCTTTACTAAGAGACTAGTAGTGTGACTAAAATTGCCTTTAGTGTATAAAATAGAATTATTGTGATATATCTATCAG